ATGCCCTTTGTCTTTTTTGATCTTTGTTGGTTTAAAGTCTGTTTTATCAGAAACTAGGATTGCAACCCTTGCTTTTTTTTTTTTTTCTTTATATTTGCTTGGTAAATGTTCCTCCATCCTTTTATTTTGAGCCTATGTGTGTCTTTGCATGTGAGATCAGTCTCCTGAATACAGCACACCTATGGGTCTTGACTGTTTATCTAATTTGCCAGTCTTTGTTTTTTAATTGGGGCATTTAGCCCATTTACATTTAAGGTAAATATTGTTATGTGTGAATTTGATCCTATCATTATGATGTCAGCTGGTTATTTTGCCTGTTAGTTGATGCAGTTTCTTCATTGTTGATGGTCTTCACAATTTGGTAGGTTTTTGCAGTGGCCAGTACTGGTTGTTCCTTTCCATGTTTAGTGCTTCCTTCAGGAGCTCTTCCAAGGCAGGCCTGGTGGTGACAAAATTTCTCAGCATTTGCTTGTCTGTAAAGGATTTTATTTCTCCTTCGCTTGTGAAACTTAGTTTGGCTGGATATGAAATTCTGGGTTGAAAATTCTTTTCTTTAAAATGTTGAATATTGGCCCTGCACTGTCTTCTGACTTGTAGGGTTTCTGCAGAGAGATCTGCTGTTAGTCTGATGGGCTTCACTTTGTGGGTAACCCAACCTTTCTCTCTGGCTGCCCTTAATATTTTTTCCTTCATTTCAACCTTGGTGGATCCGACAATTATGTGTCTTGGGGTTGCTCTTCTTGAGGGGTATCTTTGTGGTGTTTCTGTATTTCCTGAATTTGAATGTTGGCCTGTCTTGCTAGGTTGGGGGAGTTCTCCTGGATAATATCCTGAAGAGTGTTTTCCAACTTGGTTCCATTCTCCCTGTTACCTTCAGGTACACCAATCAAATGTAGATTTGGTCTTTTCACATAGCCCCTATTTCTTGGAGGCTTTATTCATTTCTTTTCATTCTTTTTTCTCTAATCTTGTCTTCATGCTTTATTTCATTAAGTTGATCTTCAATCTCTGATATCCTTTCTTCCACTTGATCTATTGGGCTATTGATACTTGTGTATGCTTCACAAAGTTCTAGTGCTGTGTTTTTCAGCTCCATCAGGTCATTTATGTTTTTCTGTAAACTGGTTATTCTAGTTAGCAATTCCTCTAACCTTTTTTCAAGGTTCTTAGCTTCCTTGCATTGGGTTAGAACGTGCACCTTTAGCTTGGAGGAGTTTGTTATTACCCACCTTCTGAAGCCAACTTCTGTCAATTCATCATATTCATTCTTTGTCCAGTTTTGTTCCCTTGCTGGTGAGGAGTTGTGATCCTTTGGGGGAGAGGAGGTGTTCTGGTTTTGGAAATTCTCAGTCTTTTTGTGCTGGTTTTTCCTCATTTTTGTGGATTTATCTACCTTTTGTCTTTGATGTTGGTGACCTTCAGGTGGGGTTTCTGTGTGGACATCCTTTTTGTTGATGTTGACGCTATTCCTTTCTGTTTTTTAGTTCCTTTTAACAGGCCCCTCTGCTGCAGGTCTGCTGGAGTTTGCTGGAGGTCCACTCCAGGCGCTGTTTGCCTGGGTATTACCCGTGGAGGCTGCAGAACAGCAAAGATTGCTGCCTGTTCCTTCCTCTGGAAGCTTTGTCCCAGAGAGGCACCCACCAGATGCCAGCTGGAGCTCTTCTGTATGTGATGTCTGTCAACCCTGCTTGGAGGTGTCTCCAAGTCAGGAGGCACAGGGGTCAGGGACCCACTTGAGGAGACAGTCTGTCCCTTAGCTGAGCTCAAGAGTTGTGCTGGGAGATTTGTTGCTCTCTTCAGAGCTGTCAAGCAGGAACATTTAAGTCTGCTGAAGCTGTGCCTACAGCCGCTTCTTCCCCAAGGTGCTCTGTCTCAGGGAAATGGGAGTTTTATCTGTTAGTTTCTGACTGGTGCTGCTGCCTTTCTTTCAGAGATGCCCTGCCCAGAGAGGAGGAATTTAGAGAGGCAGTCTGGCTACAGAGGCTTTGCTGAGCTGCGGTGGGCTCCGCCCAGTTCAGACTTCCCTGTGGCTTTGTTTACACTGTTAGGGGAAAACCACCTACTCAAGCCTCGGTAATGGTCGACACCCCTCCCCCCACCAAGCTGGAGCATCCCAGGTTGACTTCAGACTGCTGTGCTGGCAGGGAGAATTTCAAGCCAGTGGATGTTAGGTTGAAGGGCTCTGTAGGGGTGGGATCCACTGAGCTAGGTCACTTAGCTCCCTGGCTTCAGCCCGCTTTCCAGGGGAATGAATGGTTCTGTCTTGCTGGTGTTCCAGGTGCCACTGGAGTATGAAAAAAAAACTGCATCTAGCTCAGTGTCTGCCCAAATAGCTGCCCAGTTTTGTGCTTGAAACCCAGGGCCCTGGTGGTATAGGCACCCAAGGGAATCTCCTGGTCTGCGGGTTGTGAAGACTGTGGGAAAGCATAGTATCTGGGCCGGAATGCACAGTTCCTCATGGCACAGTCCCTCACGGCTTCCCTTGGCTAGGGGAGGGAGTCCCCAGACCCCTTGCGCTTCCTGGGTGAGGCAATGCCCCACCCTGCTTCTGCTCGCCCACCCACTGTCTAACCAGTCACAATTAGATGAGCCAGGTGCCTCAGTTGGAAATGCAGAAATCACCCGCCTTCTGCACTGATCTCGCTGGGAGCTGCAGACCGGAGCTGTTCCTATTTAGCCATCTTGCCCAGGAATCATCTTTTAATTTTCTTAATGGTGTCTTTTGAAGGGCAAAAGTTTTAAATTTTGATAAAATCAAATTTGTCTTTTAAAAATTATTGATTGTGGTCACAAAAATTTTCTCCTGCTTTTTCTTCCTGAAGTTTTTTTATTTTTAGTTCTTATATTTGGGTCTGTGATTCATTTTCAGAAAACTTTTGTGTATATTATATAGGATTATTAGTTTTTTTATGTTTGTTTTTGCATATAGATATCCAGTTGCTCCAGCACAATTTGTTGAAAAGACTACTCTTTCTTAATTAACTTTGCACTTTTATCGAAAATCAATTGACCATACATGTGAGTTTGAACTCTTTATTCTGTTTCATTGATCTATATATATCTTCTTATGCCAATATCATACTATCTTGATTGTAGTGTTACTTCCTGTTCTTTTTCAAAATTGTTTTGGCTGGGCTTGGTTGCTCGCATTTCCATAGGCATTTTGGCTACAGCTTGTCAATTTTTACTAAAAATTGCTGATTGGATTTTAGTAAGGATTGTGTTGACGTGCTCTCTTGATTTGGAGAAGAACTGTTATCTTAATAATGTTTAGTTTTATAATCAACGAATATGCTGTATCTCTTTATTTATCCAGGTTTTCTTTAATTTATTGCAGCAATCTTTTGCCTAGAGTGCAGCTTCTTGAGAAACATGAAAGTTATTTTAAGCCATTAAGTTTTGAGAAGTTTTTTAACCCATAGTAGATAGTTGTTACACATTTTGGTAGCTGGGAGTGATGTGCTATCATAACAAAACCCTAAAACATGGCTTTAGGACTAGGTGGTGGTCTGAAGCTGGAACAACCTTAACAAGATTGTTAGTTAAGGTCTAAGGGCCTTGAAGAGATTCTTAGTGTAACTATATGCCACCTTGAGGTGGCTCATAGTGAGGGCTGAAAGGAAATTAAAGATGTTATTGAAAGTTGGAAGAATGAGGATATTTATTAGGTAGTGACAGAAAGTTAAGCAACACTATCATGTGAAGTAATGTAGAAAACAGAAATAGAGAATAGGACTAGAAAATTATGTAGATTTCCAAGGAGAATGTTGATGATGATACCTGGTTTCTAGCTGCCTGTTTTAAAATGGCAGATGAGAGTATTAAGCAACAGAAAAAAACTTTAATATATAAAGAAGCCAGAACTTACTGGGATCAAAAATAAAACTTTCTCATTATAGTCTCTTCAGATGGCAAATGATGCTAAAATTAAGAAAAGGCTTTTGGACGAAGGCCAAATTTAGGGCACTGTCAGGAAAATAAGTAATAAAGATTATTTCAAGAGTGTTATTGTACAAACTTTTGCAAAGATTTGAGGTAGTATTTCATACAGGTAACTATCCCTAAGGATCTTGAGGCACAGCATTGGAGATTGTCTTTTCTAAGCAATAGGGCTTTTAAGAATGTCAAGGTGCTTTCCTGTAGCAACTTTACAGGAAACCAGAGAAATGCTTATCTTGATGAATTTTGTGGGTGCAACTTTGGAAGATGGGGTGGACCCCAGTATGATTCATAGGAGACCCACAAAATTTTAAGAGAAGTGTACTTGGAGAAACACTGCCAGCTTGGACTAAAGGGGGCAGAGACAGACCATCACAAAAAGAGAGCTTTGGATTTCTTAAGTAATACTAGTAGGAAGCAGGCTGAGAAAACTACTTAGCTGTAAATATCAGCATTTTTTAATGGAAAAGGATGACTTGAGGAGAAACTGTGAGCTCAGAAGATAGAGCTAAGACCCATGGAGACGCTATGCTGCATTATCAGACAGCAGACCTGAGTCAAGGAGCCATTAGTGTGTGCATGGCTGGATTACAGAATTGTTTTGGACTAGTGAATCCTGTTTGCCTTTCTTTTCCTCCCTTTTCAATAGGAAAGTCTATAGTAATTATCCTATGCTTCTTCCACCATTGTACGTCAGTGTGTGAAGGACATATAAATTGTCTCTTTAGTTCACCAGGTCTTTGGATTAAGGATAGCTATACTTTATGAGCTGTATTTGATAAATAACATCTGAGGAGACTCATCCACACCTGGTTGCCTAAGTAAATGGAGTATATTTTGCGTGTGAAAGGAATATAAAAATTTGTGACCAAAGGTTATGTTTTCAATTTATTTGACACTCCTTCCACAGAAGGTGGAGTCTGATTGCCCTTCCTTTATTATGGGTGAGCCTTAATGACTTGCTTCTAACAACACAGAATGGGGCAAAAGTGATGTTGCATGGTTTCCAAGGCTATGTCATAAATAGAATTTCCAGCTGGCATGCTCACTCTGTCTTTCAGGACACATGCTGTGGGTGTCCTGAGCTGCCATTTAAGAAGTCTGGCTACTCTAAAGCCTCCAGGCTGGAGAGACCATGTGGAGAGACCCCCACAGAGATTGAGAGTAAGATGCTTGAGAAGCCCCAGCTTTCCCAGCCCCAGCCTTTTGGGTCTTCTCAGCCTGAGCACTAGATGTGCAGCCCCAGCCCATGGTGAGTAGAAGCAAGCTGTTCCTGCTAACCCTGCTCAGATTTCATATTTATGATAAAATATGTTGTTTTATGCAACTAGAAGTTTGAGGTAGTTGGCTACACAGCGTTAGATAATTGGAACAAAGGACCTTTAACTGTCTTATTCTCCTTACTGCTGGATTTACTGTTGAGAGCCAGAACTGTTCTGCAGTACTTTTTGTTTTTTTAAATATATATGGCTCCAAATAATGCTTTTTTCCATAGTTGATACTCAATAAATCCAGCTAGTGATATTAAATGGATTGGAGCACAACCCAGAATACATGCACCTGGCTCTTTTATAGCAGGTCTATTCTGGCAATATGTTTGGATTGGTTTACATTTCCCCTTGAAAGTTTGTTCTTGTTGCTTTGTTTACGTTAGCTTCATTCCACCCTTTGCTCTAGTTCACAAACTAGTGTCTAGCATTTCTTTCACTTCATCTCAACTTCTACTCCTTAACCTAATGTTTGCCTCATGGCCTGATGATGATAACTATAAAATATATTGAACTATATGTAAATTTTATAAGGTTGAGAGCCACTGTATCTCCCTGGAACACAGTGCCTAGTACAGAGTAAACACTTAGTAATCATTTATTGATTTATCATAACTATGTAGGAGACACCAAAGTAACCTTATATGCATAACTTCCTTTAATCTCCACAACACATTATTAGGATTATTATCCCCATTCTACAGATAAGGAAGATGAATAAATTAATGAAGTGATTTTGATTTTCTCAAGTTCATCAATAGTGGAGACAGGATTTGAACCAAAAGTCTGTTTGACTTCAAAGCGTGTACTCTAATGACTGATTTTTACCTGGTTTTGCTGTTAACCATAAATTTCTAGCAGTTGAACTAGGTATTATCTATTAACTTTGCCTACACCATGTATTTTATTGGATATTTGGCCATTGCTTCTCCAGAACTTATGCCTTGCTTGTCCCTGATTTGTGTGTAGCTACATTTCATCCTGTGGTTCACATTTGAGTGTCCATGGAAAGAATCTACCAAAATGTGATTAAGTATGCACATAAAATTCTGAACTAAGAAGACCTATTTCCGTAACACAGAGAATATCCTGTCTAGATGGAAAAGTTATGAAATCTAACATTCGCTGGAGCCACTGAAATGTTTCATGCTTGAAAAAAATTAAGATTTGTAAGAATGAATGAAAAGACCTATGGAGATTCTTTTCTAATGTTAGATTTCACACTCTTAAAATTGGACATTTTAAATATTGCAGATATACCAGTTAAATGCTTTTGCTCTGTTAAGCTGAAGTCACTTGCTCATATGGAGTCTGTTTTCCTGTTGCATGTTGGCATGAGAGTTAATTAACTCTGTTGCCTGCTCTTGGCCATTTGTTCCTCAACTTTTTGTGTCACTGAACATGTATGTGTACAATATTTGTCACCTTTCTGTCTTTTAAGAATTTTTATTCATATGTCATTTATGAATTAGACAAAGTGAATGCATAAAAACTGAGAGAAATTAACAAGGTAAACCAAGAGAGCTGTATTTGATAAAGGGCATCTAAGGAGACTCATCCACACCCGTTTGCCTAAGTAAGTGGAGTATATTTTACATATGAAAGGCATATAAAAATTTGTGATCAAAGGTTACGTTTGCAATTTCTTTGACACTCCTTCCACAGAAGGTGGAGTCTAATAGAAACATTTGAAAAATCAAAGTGCAATGAGTACAAAAATATCATTTTCCTATCATAACCTAATTGTACTGACTCCTTATTACGTTTGATAGTCAATTCTCATTTGTCTTTAATAATTGATAATGGGAAACTACTTAATTTTAGATGAGATCAGATTCACTGGTTATTATTTCCTTGGGCTGCTTTTACTTGGAAATAACTTCATCTGACTTTATAGAAAGTGACCTTAGTAATTGTGAGAGCATCCAAAATTTGTTTAATATGGATGAAGGTAAAATATTTCAGTGTATATCTTAATCTAGGAGTCATTCCTGAATTTTACAACCAGATTTACTGTGTATTTTCAAATGTCATTGCTGTATACTGAGTAAGCTTGAAAAACGGGAGATGAGAAAATCAAGTGGATATATTTCTGATTCAATCATTTTTTATAATATGAAATAAAAATATTTTATTATAAAAAATTTCCAAGTAAAATAGCTGATAAGATCGTGGTATTGAATTGAGTTGCAGAGTCGCAATTCTGTTTACAACTACAACTTTTACTCTTCCCATAAAAATGTACTTAACAATTATTTGTAGAGGACCTACCATGTGCAAAGAAATACCTAGAGGCTCTTGGAGATACAAATTAGTTGAGACAGCCCTTTTCTCAATGAGTTTGTAATTTAATAGAGGATTCATTCCTTTATTCATTCAGTCATTTAGTCAGTAAACAATATTGATTGAATACCTACTGAGTGCAGGCATTGTGAAAGCAATGATCACACATTAGAAGAAAAGATAAAACTGATCCCTAGCCTTCAAAACTCATGGTCTAATAGGAGCTCCCAAATCAAGAAAATACAGCAGAATAGTATGCTTGAATTATTTATTCATATTGAGTTAAAATATGTCACTTTTGGCTGGGATGCTCAAGGAAGACTTTCTTGAAGTTATACATCCAAATATTATAAGTCACTATATGAAATAAATGCTCAGAGGCTTCATTTTTGAAATTAATTACAAAAGAGGCACAAAAACCAAATGCAATACTGTAGATTTCCAAAATGGTCATAATCCTCTACCCCTGTCTATATTCACATCTCGTAAAATATGATGTATTTTTCCTCCATGAAGAGATGCCATCTGTTTCTCTACCTCTGGAATTTGGGTAGGCATTGTGACTTGATTTTGCCCATAAAATATAGCAGATGTGATGTTGTGCCAATTCTCAGCCTTGGCCTCAAGCTTGCAAGCTTCTGCTCTCTTTCTTAGAATCCTCCTCAGCTTCCACGAATAAGCTTGGGCAAGCTTATTCATGATAAGAGATTGTATAGAAGAGAAATGTGCCATCCCAGCTGAGTCCTTCTTAGATAGCTGCCACATAGCCAACATAGCAGCTGATGTCATGCATTAGTGATATTAGGAGTTACGGCAAGAGCAACCCACATGGGACCATTTGAAATTGCCAAACCACCAAATTATGGATAAAGACAGATTTGTTGATTTATACCCCTACATTTTAGATGGTTTATTACACAGCAATAACTAGCTGATATGCCAGTTAATCAAAATCTTCCTAATGCTTTAGAGTTGGGGGCAGTAGCACAGTAAATAGGTGGAACCGCATGTAGGAAAAAAATTTAATTACCAAGCTCTTAAGACCATTTATATGGCATATGTATTTTCTCAGAATTTTTTTTTAGCAAGCCAATCTTCTTTCCTATGGTGAATTCTTACGACAAATGTGGAGTTAGGATTTAATTCATGCATAGGCTATATTTCTTTCCAAAATGTTATATCAGATTAATAGGAAATAGGTATTTATTTTCACGAAAACAGTGTGCTGTAAATTTTTAGTGTTTTTTGTTTTATTTTCTGGGCAGCACTTTACAAGGTATAAGTGATACATTATGGTTTTATTCAGTTGCATCTTGGGATCGCTTGCAAGGATAATTTGTGATGAAAAATATAAATGGGCCACAGAGAATCAGTGAGACCCTATGCTGTGCTATAGTTAAAGAAGGAATATAATGAGGAAGAAAGAATGGGAGACTTGGAGTCCAAACAACTATATTCAGAAAATGTAATTTCCCTTGTGTTTTTAGAAGATTATTTTTAATCTTCATAACTTTTTTCTTGCTTCCCAGAATTAAGAGGTAATGTGAAAACACAGCGGTTTAATGATTCTTTTTGTAACAAAAGACTGATTTTGATTCCTTTGTAAAAGGAAACCTGATTTGTCTGAATAAACCATATTTTCAAGCTTAATGTAATATGCATAATTATTTCATGCTTTTTTACATATTATTATTATTATTATTTTTGAAATGGAGTCCCACACTGTCACCTAGGCTGGAGTGCAGTAGTGCAATCTTGGCTCACTGTAACCTCCGCCTCCCGGGTTCAAGCGATTCTCTTATCTCAGCCTCCCGAGTAGCTGGGATTACTGAGCTTCCTTACATATTCTTAAACATGTCCTTAATTTAGAGACAACACAGGTAGAAGAGAGAATTTCAGGTTTTCTTAAAATGTCCATATCTCTACCTGAAACAATTTTGTATGCCTTCAGAATGTTCATTAAATTTCCATCTGTATTATTATGTTATTCAAACTGGACATGGATCAATTCCTCTCCTTTAAAAAAATAATTTACATAGAGCCTACCTTAATCCTGGGGATGGACAAGCATATAGGTAGACTTCAACCAACCTGAGCATCATCTTGTTGGAGAAAATAAGAATGTTATGTCTCCATTTCCCTGAGGAGGGTATTACTGAGGATAGAGGAACTTTATCATGCAGTTCATTTCACAGGGCTTCAGATATGAAGAAGTGTAGAGAGATGTTAATGGATAAACCAAACTTTGCAAAATATTTTAAAGAGGCTTATTTTGAGTCAATATGAGTGACTGTGGCCTGGGAAAAATAAAAACCCAAGAAGTCTTGAGTAATGGTCCCACAGTTTGGTTTTACACATTTTAGGGAGGCAGGAGTTACAGGTAAAGACATGAATCAATACATGGAAGGTCTGCATTGGTTTGGCCTTAAAAGGTGAGATATCTTTAAGATAAGCCTTAAATGGGGCTTATAGGTTATAGGTGGGTTTTCAGATTCTTTAGTTTGTAATTGGTTAAAGGAGTAAGGCTCTGTTTAATACTTGAGGTCAGCAGAAAGAAATTTTTACAATAAGGATGCCAGAGTCAGCCACAATATACTGGGTCAAAAGGACCTGTTCAGCAAGACTGATGGCCTGACATGACTTAACCCTTGCCTTGCATGGCTTAGGTCTTGTTTGTAATTTGGTATCTTATTGCCACAAA